ATGGAAAAACCTCTCCAAAAAAAAAAAAAAAACAAAAAACTCAGATTACTATAACACTAAAGTGTTTTTGCAACTTTGTATGGATTTAAAAAAAAAAACATTTAAAATGTATATTCTTATAAATTAATGAAAGTAGGTTCTCACAAATATAAAATCTACCAAAATTTGGTCAAATAGAATTATACTGTAAATACTGTTCAGGAGAACCTGGTTTCATTTTTAAAGCTTCGTGGTGGTTTCTTTTTTAAAAAGCTGCCGTGCCTCACTGCTGAGCTCGCAGATGGCTGTAACCCAGCGCCCCCGCTCTATCTGTAGACCTCTCGGTGCAGCCAGTGTCATGGGACTCAGCGTGCTTGAGAGGCAAGCTGCCGCAGTTCACCCCCACTGGCCTCGGCTGTCCGCTGTGAACCGTGCCCACACCCTCAGACCTCTAAACAGCACGTTACTGTGTCGGTGGTCGCATTTCACACAGGTGGACCTTCCTGACGAAGAACCTGATCGACTAAGCAACAGGCTGTTCGAGTACGACCCCGGCCGAGACCAGTGGAGAGAGCGGGCGCCCATGAAGTTCTCCAGGTACCGCTTCAGCACCGCCGTGGTCAGCAGTGAGGTCTACGTCCTGGGTAAGAGCTCGCTAGCAGTGGGACTGCTCTTGCTTTTCTCAGCAGCTGCCTCTGAAATGAAGTGTCCTCCCTTCCCCTCTGTCCCCATTCAGATACCTCCACTGCTGCGGAGTACCGTCTGTTTCCTAGGCACAGATAAGAGCGGGTGGGAGTCCATGGGCTTATTGGAAACAAAACTTCTTCACATTTCCAGGCACCTTGGAGTGCAGAAACAGCAGTGGTACACCCCTCCCTGGTCCTACCACTAACACCGTCACGTGCCACTTAACATCCGAGAGGTGCACCGCGAGGCAGTTCTGTCTCCGTGGACTGTCATGGCGTGCTTCCACGGACCTGGATGTGGCAGCCTCCTGCACACTTGTGGTCTCAAGGCCACCGTCACAGACGTGCTTGGCATTGACTGACACGTCACATGGCGTGTGACTGTGCTTGGAGACGGGAGGATGGCAGTGACCACTGTCAGTGGCCACCGGCTGTCGGTGCTATGGGGAGGGCCACCATGGGAAAGTGCAAAATGACCCACCACGCTTTTATAGCGGTGTTACTGTGTGACTTTCATCTGAAAGCATTTTTTTCTTCTCTTAAAAATGTGTGGCCTCAGGAACCAGCAGTTAGCGTAATGGCTATGTCGCTGGACTCCCACGTAGTCGACCGCAGTTTGCGTCCTGGACCCGGTGGCTTAAACTCACGCCGGGCACGTGTGCGTGCGTGCCCAAGATCCCGAGAGGAGAATGGAGGAGAAGGGATTGTGGCGTGGCCATCCACCCTGGGGGGTGATTTCTCGCTTTCTGTCTCTATGTCTCTCTCTGTCTGTCTGGCGAGCACACGCGCCCTATAGTGAAAATCTCCCCCCCCCCAAAAAAAAAAGTGTGGCCTTGGGACCAGCAGTTGGCGCAGTGGCTATGTCGCTGGACTCCCATGTAGGCAACTGCCGTTCGAGTCCCGGCCCCAGTGGCTTAAATTCCCACCAGGCGTGTGTGCATGCATGCCTAAGATCCCGAGAGGAGAAGGGAGGAGAAGGGATTGTGGCGTGGCCATCCACCCTGGGGGGTGATTTCTCGCTTTCTGTCTCTATGTCTCTCTCTGTCTGTCTGGCGAGCGCACGCGTCCTACAGTGAAAATCTCTCCAAAAGAGAAAAGGAGAAATGTGTGGCCCCGTGTTGCTCAGCAGGGCTGGTCCTCACCAGCGCCAGCTCAGTGCCACTGAAGAGTGCAAGGGCTCTGGAGCACCCTGACTCCCCGCCCTTCACGGCCGGGTCTCCGGTACCGACGCCGTTAGCTCCTTTGCTGTCTAGACACCGGGTCGTCGGAAGAGTCCCCGTGTGCTTTTCTGTGTGAAAATGCGTCATGACGTCATGACAACCCAATACACGCCTTCCCAGCGTCGCCCCATCACCTTTCCCTCCCGTCAGGAGGGGGCAGGGACTGAGGGCAGGAGACGGCTGACTGTGACATGCCATTTCGTTACTTCCTCCCACCTGCCTCGGTGACTAACGGCAAAACCAGGAAGATGGTAGGTAGTGAAGACATGAGGAGGACGCGGACTAAGAGGGAAGCAGCCGAGCGCTTGGTGGGAGATAACTTTTTCTTTTACTGAAGACAGGCCCTTTGTCTTGGCTCTTTGTATAGCACTAATGCTCTCTACGGTTCATTACTGCTTTGTAAGAATGAGAACGTTGGGGTCAGAAGGTGGAGTGGTGGTTAAGGCACTCGACTCTCACATGTTCAATTGCAGTTTGAGTCCTGGACCCTGTATCTCGAAAATCACACTGGGCATGTGTGTGTGCCCAGAATCCCGAGAGGAGAATGGAGGACAAGGGACTGCGGCACGGCCATCCCCCTCTGTGGGGCGAATCCTCACCTCCCTCTCTCTCCAGCGAGCACATGCGCTCTGTGCCTAAGACCTTAAAAAAAGGAAAGAAAGAACGAGGTCTTCGTGTGACATAATTTACGACTACCTCAGTTAGGAGAGACTCCAGATACACCTTGTTTTAACCCTGTGCTGTCACAAGGCCAGAAGAGACCACACCGGAGCCATGATGGGTTGCCTCCTATAGACACCCAGTCGGGTCAAGGGCTGGCGTCCTAACTGTGTTAAAACTGGGGGTCGAGGTGGCCGGGTCCCACATGGCCGACTGCGGTGTGAGTCCTGGACCCAGCAGCTTCAGAAACATGCCGGATGTGTGTGTGTGCATGCCGAGAATCCCGGAGGAGGAGGGCTGTGTCATGGCACCCCAGCGTGACTCTCACTGTGCCCTCTAACCTGGGTATATCACAGGTGAGCACCGTCCGCCGGGGTGAGGCGTACCCGCGGGGGCCAGGGCCATGGCAGGCTGCACGTGGGACAGAGTGGCTGGGCCTTGTCTGGTGCATGGTTGGGGCAGGCCCCTGAGGTCCACTTGGGAGTGCACAGGTACAGGCTGGAGGCACCACTGTGCAGGTGGGAGTGTGTTCAGGGACCCAGGTGCTTCATGAGGGCAAGGCAGGGGACGCCCAGGGAAGCCACGGAGGCCACAGCCGTGAACCAGGGCACGCTCTGAAGAGCCTGTCCCAAGTCCAGCGAGGGTGACAGTCGTTCAGTGTGGATGAGGCCTGGCTGCGGGCGTGCGGGCGTTGAGACACCACTGTATGCGTCCCGTGCCCGTGGGCCTACCTGGCTGGGCACGGGACGCTCCTGGGTGTGGTCCTCCTGGACTGCGGTCTGAGACCTGCTACCCCAGTCCCTCTGCCCTGAAGACCCTGAGATGACGCTCTGCCGCAGAGCTTCCTGGCTTGGCTCTGTAGCCTCCCTGAACGGCTTTCACACCTGGGAAGCCTCGAGGGGAGTCCAGGTGCGTCTGCGGCCATGCCCCGCGCCTGCCTCCCTCAGTTCCCATGGACCGTGCGAGCTCTGCGGCCAGCACGTGTTTGGCCCAGGATCCCCGACTCCCCAGTAGCCCGCGAGTTTGGAAAGGAAACCTGGCCTGTGTGCTCCACGGAGTGGGCCCTCTAGCTTCCAGGCTGTCGCTCAGCCGTGGCCTCCAGGCCTCGCTGGTTTCTCATCACTGCAGGCCCTGTCTGTGCAGACCCAGTGCTCGTCCTGGCCCACAAGTGGCAACTGCCTCGGGCCAGAGCAGCCTAGAAGGGTGCCTCCCCGTCCAGCCCTGCGGTCTGCTCCCTGCACCTTTAACAAGGTGGTTTTCCACGTGGCCTTTGTCCCACTTGCATCTGACCACGGGTCTACCGTGACAGCATGGCAGGAGAGGCTCCCGGCATGACTTGGACAGGCTTCTGGCTCGTAAGACCGACCGTGCTGGGTGACTGTCTCCCGGCACGTGTGGGCGAAGAAGGGAAGGGGCGCCAGCTGAGGCGCACCGAGCGGCCGGAGCCCTGCGTCCCTCCGTCTTCACTCCCTTCCGCTGCGAACAGCCGGTGCCTCGCCATCCACACACACTGGCCTTGCGGCATGGGTCAGGACACGCCTCCATGCCAGGAGCCTGGAAGGGCCTTGCAGATGCGCACCTTCCCGGGCACAGAGGACGGAAGCTCCCCGCAACTGCTGGAGGCGGTGCCACCAAGCCTGGGGGCGGGGGGTGCAAGACTGAGGGTGGGCCTCTCGGAAACTGTGCAGCCCCAATTCGAGAGCCGTTATCACAGACTCCGGGGATAATTTGAATTCAGATGAAAACAGCTTCTGAGATTATGGCCACCTAGCCAAGGGGCATGGTAGTCATTTGTGGGATCGTTTTCTCCTGGAAGTCTATAAATTGCCTCCTTAACATGAAAGTGGAGACCAAGCCAGGACTGGACTGCAGCTTACCTGCTCGTCACTCACAGGGAGGCCCTGGGTCAGCCACCCCAGAAAGGCGGCCGTGAGCCGCACCTCCTCCGTGAGCTGGCGTCACTTCAACAGGCAGCTCGAGCCCCTCCCTGAAAACACAGGGCTTAAACGCAGCTGAGCTCCTGGGCTGTCTCCTCGTGTTTTCTCTGGAACGTAACTGTGTGCAGAAGTATAGGGAGGGCTCAGTGTGCTTCCTGGCAGAGCCCAGGGACCCCTGGGGACAGGCCAGATGGGAGGGCATTTTGTTAAATTTACTGATTGAGTTCTTCCAGGAGAGAGAGGCAGAGAAAGACAGGCACCCTGTCTTCCCCCCACTTCTGCCCAGGAGGGTCTCCATCATGACCCGCCTCCAGAGGGAACCAAGGTCCCCTCACATGACAGGACCCTGGGACCGCTGTGTGGACTCGGCACTGTGGAGCACCACACTGTGGCAACTTGTGGCTGTCCTGAGTCATGCGGTTGGTTGGTTGGTTTTAGATTTTTGCTATAGGGCGCGTGCACTCACTGGAGAGACAGAGGCAGAGAAGTAGGGAGTGAGAAATCAGCCCCGGGGGAATGACCACACCAGACTCCTCTTTCTCCTCCATTCTCCTCTCGGGATTTTGGGTATGCATGCACATACTCCTGGTATGAGTTTTAAGCCACCGGGGCCAGGACTCAAACCGGGGTCAGCCGTGTGGGAGTCCAACTGCTACAGCATCTGCTGGTCCCAAGCCATGTTTTGGATTTTTGTTTGTTTGTTTGTTTTTAAGGTTTTTGCCATAAGGGCGCATGTGCTCACCCAAGATAGTGAGGGAAGGTGAGAAATCACCCCTCGGGGGATCAAGATAGTGAGGTGAGAAATCACCCCTCGGGGGATGGCCACGCTGCAATCCCTTCTTCTCCATTCTCCTCCTAGGATTTTGGGCACAGCACGGCACCCCGCATGGCAGTGCGACCCTGGTCTGCCTGCTGCCGCCCTCGTGTCATACTCACACTGTCCGGGGGCGGCCTTGCCCTACTCGCCCTACTCGCCCCTCCCTTCTGAAGGCCTGGGGCTGGCTGGCGAGAGCGGCCAGGCCAGGCCAGTTGTGCTGACCGAGGCTGAGGCCGCGCTGTCCTCTGGAACCTGTCCCATCTTCCCCCGTGGGCGCCTCCATGCCAGGAGCCTGGAAGGGCCTTGCAGATGCGCACCTTCCCG